GGGGAGTTCGCTCCCCACAGTTGCGAGATCTGGGCCAGGGCATTGTTTTCTGCCATGGCTCTGCAGGACTCTAAGTTGAAGGAGAGGGAGGCACCTACCTGCATGAACCTTCGGAGTCTTGGTATAGGTGTCCCTGCAAAACCTGCAAGGCCTGGAGAGGACGGTGGCTTTTATGTCCGCAGCGACACGATCCTGTAACTGAGGAGCGCACCATATGTCCTGGTGGGTCTTGGTCATATGTCGTCGCCAATCCTGCTGATTTGTTACAGGGATTGCACAGAAACCACAGTGTCGTTCAAGAAATTGCATTAGAGGCCTGTCGGCTTCCCCAGTGGGGGCCGTGGTGTCCTGTAGCAAGTCGCGTACTTTGGCAGGGGTGAAGTGGTCTGGCGAGATAGTGGGTTGGGTGGAGGTTTCCGGCTGTCCTGCCTGACACCAGGCACTGGCAAGTGCCACCTGGAAGATTACCACACAGCTTCGAATATGGCGATCGGCTGAGTATACCTTTTGCTGGCAGAGCTCACAGTCATGATCTCGGTGGATGAGATCTCGATATTCTTCGCAGTTTCTAGTGAAATTTTTCGAGTCCTGCATCCCAGATTTCAGGATGCATACGCTTGATGTGCTCCTTAACTGATCCCTGCTTTGCTATCCATTGCCCACAAAAACCACAGTGTGCATGTAGGAGCGGAGCCCATTCTGCGAGTCTGTGGAGTGGGACAGGGGGTTGCTTAAGTAGGGCGACAGCTACCGGCGTACGCAAAATGGGTGTATCAGCCCGTTGTTCCCTGCTGAGTGGTGTGGCAGGTTGTCCCTGAGTGGTCTTATCCAGGGCTTGGTCGTAGAACAGGGTAACCTGAGTGACGGGGTTGTCTTCTGGGGCTTTGTGATCAGGGGCCGGAGACGGCTCCCTGTCTGGTTCCGTAGGATGTGGTTGCCTAACATCGTCTGTAGGTTTTGTTCTGCAGGCGTAAGTGAGGCTGTGTTGCTTGAACGCCCCCCAGGATTGGAGGTGCTTGTGGCAGTACCGGCATTGAGGCATGCCTTGTATGCAGTGCTCATGTTGCTTGTACCTACGCTCCTCTTCCGCATCGATGCTGACTTTTTGTTTGTGTTTTTGAGCACGATGCTGTCTGAGGGTCTTCGTCGACGGGAAGTAGAGGCCGCATTCAGGGCAGGCCAGGCCGGCGGTGGTCGGTTCAGCCGGAACAAGAGTCTGCGAGGGCAGTTCCAGAGTGGTAACCTGCTTAAATTCCTTGGCAGTGTCCTGCCAGAATGTCATGATGTCAGTTGTGTTCGTGATATCAGCAGGTTTGTGTTGAAGTTTCTCAATTTTTCGCTGTATGGCCTTGTAAAGAGAATCAATTGTTTCGCTGATGTGGAATTTGGCACAAAGAGCGGAGTTGCTCTCATGTGTGAGGTGTGCCGGAGAGTTCACCACCGCTCGAAGTTTCCTGTAAAACCAGTTGCGAAGCTTGGTTGCCGCAGCATATGTCATGCCCACCGGGAGCAGACCATACGTTGCGCTCGAGACTGCACACGCAATCCAGATCCTAAGTCGATGGGTGAGGCTGAAAATCCGGCGTGAGCGGGTGGATCTATGAAGCTTGGCCTCTCGGCCTTTTGCTTCCTTGATGCGGTGACGAGTGTTGGGGAGGGCGCACGCGCCCAGCTCCAGGTGGGTGCCTAGGTAGATAACCGACTTTGCTAGTGGTATGTAGGCGGGGCCGGACTCGGTCTCCACTTGCCAGTGCTGTTTGCCTTCTTTGCGGACTATGTACTGTTTGAGCGCCCGTTTCGCACCGGGGCCCCTGACTTTAAGAAGCAGTGCGGTCTTAGCAAGGTTAACATGAAGGCCTAGCGCTTCCATAACCTTGAGCACTTGTGCCAGGAGGGCAGCCAACTGATGGACGTCACTTTCCTGCTCGATGAGCCATTGGCATAAGGTATCATCGGCAAACGTCGTTCCCTGGCGTTTGGGGCCCGAAAGGGCGCCCCTTAATTCATACAGGATCGTGGTGGATATCGCCACCCAAAGGAGGGGCGCTATGCGACACCCTTGACGTATTCCGCGCGTGGTGCTAACCGTGGTTTCGTGGAAATCGTCATGTATGTGATATGACGACGTATCATGCAGGGCTATTACCGCCGCAATTAAGTTGTCGGGGGCTCCAAGCCTCTTGAGGGAGGAGGCCAGCGCGTGTCGTTCAACACGGTCAAATGCCTGTTTGAGATCAAGGCTGAGGATGGCTCCTCCAACACACAGGTCTTTTTGGGTTCCATCGTCTTCACGGGCCTGAATGGCAAATCTGCCGGTACCGGCTTTATCTAGAGTTTGTCCGAATAGTTTCATCCAAGAATGTACTCTGGCCAGTGCATCAAGGATATCACGGTTGGGCTGGTACGCGTATTGCGGCACCCACTGCAGCTGGGGCCGAATGACTGCGTACAACTTTTCCTTGATGAGGGCCGCAAGAACTTTAGCTTCGGGGCTCATCAGTCCTTTTGGACGTAGGGCCGAGGGATGAGACGGCGCCTTACCCGGCTTTGGAAGCCAGATGATCCATGCATCAGTCCACCTGGGAGGGAGGGTGGCGTTAGTTTGTGCATATTGTTCCATTGTGAGTTGGAGTAGGGGGGCGATAGACGCGGCTCCCACTTTCCATGCTGCAGTCGGTGCAACCCCTGGGGGGACCGCTTTGCCCACGCTGGTAATTTTGAGCTGTCCATAAAGCTCCTCCATTGTGAAAATGAGGGGGAGAATTTCACCTTCTCTTGGGGGCTGTTCTTGTTTGGGGGCAAAGAGACCTTTGCTATAGCTAACCAGTGATTCGTGTTCTTGCTTCTGAGTGAGGAGTGTCCCCTTCTCGTCCTTGAGCATAACCCTAGTGCGAGGGGCCCATGGCGCCAGTTGTTTGACCACCTGATAGACCTTTCGTTGGTCCCCACTGGTGGCCGCAGCCTCGGCCTGACCAAGGAGAGCGAGTGTGGCGTTTCGCTTATCAGCATAGCACTGTTTTTGTGCAAGTTTGGCGGCCATGCGATAACGAACAGTAGCTCTCCAAGCAGCGAAAAGGCGACCTGTTCTGTTCAGCTGAACGGGGGAGTATTTGGCAGCTTTTCGGAGTTGCCAAAGGTGAAGAATGGCCGGGTTTGATTTGTAGGGGGACTTTGCCGCGGGTGGAAAAACATGGCAGCAGGCTTGCATGATTGCCTGATACAAGTGAGGGGAGTCCTGTGGGAGGAGCTCTACCCTAGACTTGATTTCAAGTGCCAATTGCCGGGCCTGTTCGGTGTCTTTGCGGACTGCTTCATCAAGATCTTTTTTATTATATGCCGGCTGCGCCGGACGGCGATTAGGAAGCAGGTGATGATTCATGATTCTGATGTCCGTTGCAAGGCTGTAGTGGCCTATGTGTAGGCGCCACGTGCCAATCGGCGGCTTAGCCACCTTAACAAATTTGGCTCTAGAGTCAGCCGTCACATTTCGTGTCATGATGTAATCGATCTGGCTCGTACCCACCTGGTTTTGGGGAGCTTGATTGAATTGAGTGGGTTTCGCAACGCCATGCCAGGTGTTTAATGCCACCAGTCCATTGGTCTCCAGGAACAGCCCCAATGCATCTGGGTCAAGGGCCTCAGGGCCCACATGGAAGGGGGTGTTACATGTTGAGCGTCCTACATGAGGCGGGGAGGGTTTTGCCTCAGCCTGGAAGTCACCCGCTACTATAAGAGTGGCTCGTAGGGGGATACCAGTGATGGATCGGGTGACCTTGTTAAGGAAAGCGTGTCGTTTCTCCCGCAGCAATTCGGGAGAGCAAGTGAAGTTATGTGGATGCTGGTAGCAGTTGTAGACCTCAATTCGTCCCTGTGTGGCTTGAATCTGAACTCGAAGTGCCCGGCCTGGGACAATCTCCTGGTACAATCTCCTCGTGCCTCACCACATGCTTGTTGTGTCGCGGGTGAACGAGTGTGAGAACGCCATCGGCTCTGGCCTTAGTGCCCGAGTGAATTGCCCGCCACCCCTGGACAACAAAGTCTGAGGTCGTGGACCAGTGTGTCTCCTGGAGACATATAACGTCGGCCTGAGCCTGCACAAGGTACTCCTTTAGCTCATGCCAAAGCAAGGTCGAGAGGGAACCAACATTCAAGGACAGTATACTTAGTCTCTCAACATTACGTTGCCCAGCTCGATTACCTCTGGTGGTGTTGGATTCAGTGGTTGGTCTCCTTGCCTGGCGGAGTACTACATCAGCAAGGTTGGGGGCCGTAATGCGGCGCCCCTTATACCATGTGAAGCCCTGGGTTTGTGCACGCTGTTTGGCCCTTCTAATGGCCCTTTTTGACCCCGGGAGCCGGGCGTTTTCGTCGTTGACTCTGTTTGTCACTGCTTGCACTGGCTGAAGAAGGAGCAGTAAGAGCAGTACACGTCCAAAAATACCCAGCTGGTAGGGGCGAAGGGGGCCAATGGTGGCCTTCCCTGTTCCGTTGGCGGGGATTCCGTGAATCAACCCTTTGCCATAGCTTCTGTGACTGTCAGGACGCGGTGCATGTTTGCACGCTTTCGCAGTAGTCCGGTGTTTGGTCGCGCCGCCCACCGTCTTCCCACCATGGGAAGAGCACGTTTTGAGAACTGAGAACGTGATGTGGTCTTCCCTCTGTGGGGGGCCCAGAGGGAACCCTCTTGGGACCGACGCGGCTCAGGAGAGCTCGATGGTGCCTGGTGTTGTTGGGGGTTTGGGGTCTACGTTTGTATTTTCCCGTGCATTGTCTAGTAGTACGCCAAGGAGTATGAGAAGAACTCCGGAGGAGCCACAGAAGAATTTGCAGAAGGTAGAAACACAGTAGTATGCTGGCCAACTGGTGTGCAAACAACAATGCATATGCCCTTTCGGCCTGTGGTCTTCTGGCTGCTCCAAGTTGCGAAGGATGCTGTACCTGTCGAAGATAGGACAGTGCAGACCTGCAATGGCTATTAGTCAGAGAACGATGCTGCCGGCTCAATGGACAAGCTTCAGTACGTAGCACGTTCTGTTTTGGCAGCTGCTCACAGTGACACTCTTGGCAGAGTCTGAAGCATCCTGCACATCGTAATCCTGCACGGACCAACATTTTTGCCGCCGCAAAAGGGCGGCGTCTGGATGTCGGCACCCTTTGCGAGGGGGCCGGATTCAAGGTAGGACCGATATCGTCTTCGATGCGATGGTCGGTACTGAGCTCCATGGGAAGGTCATCTGTGTTGCATGCGGGTCGATCGGTCGTCTCCGCCTGGCTGCCGTCGGGTGGGTCTCCTGTCGTGGGGATGGCCGCGCTGGAGGGCAGTCTGAACGACCTAGAAGTTGCACGCTCTTCCTGTTCTGAGTCTCCGTCGGGTGGATCCGGTATGTCAGGCCGTTGTGTCGGCTTCCGTTTTCTCTTGCGGTTTCCCTCCACTTGACTGGGTTGCGCTGCCCTCTGTGGCCGGCTCGTCGGCTCCACTTGGCTTTGGGCAGAGTTGTCCTCCACCTTTTGCTCAGGTGTGGACCTCTTGACCAGCGCCAAGACGCTGTGCACAGGAGTGCCCGGGAATACCGGCTGATAAGGTGGGTCAGACGGCACTGCCTGAATCGCTCCCGATGGAGTGGTCTCATCCAGGAGATCATCGCTGTCACAATCAACATCCGGGAATTCTTCGTCTAGTGCCTCCCAGAAGTCCGAGTCCGACGACATGTTGTGATGAGCGGTACTGTCTGATGGGGGCCCCGGTGATGTGTTAGGCAAGTTCCCCTTCTGATCCGCTGCAGCTGATATGGGCATCCAAATCACAGGCAGAAGTGCTCCTAAGCGAGTCCCAACCACTAGGAGGCCCGCCTGAATGTCGAGCTTGGGGGTAGGGCCACCAGCCAAGTCCTGCAGGGCACAAAAGGACATGGTCATTGCATATTGGTGGGTTACCTGGTAATTTGCAGAAAGAAAGGGATGCAGCATGTATGCTCGCACATGCGTAGACTTTGAATTTTCCGGGGCCGCTTGTCGACCAGCCTGTCCTAATTGTAGCCGTTGGTAGGCCTGCAGCACCACGGATGGGAGTGGAGGGGAGTCATCCGTGGACTCAACCCTTTCTCCTCGCGAATCGTCACAGCCTGAATGTATTTTGGAGCGATAGGGTCTGACGTGAGGTAGTATCCATTCTGAGAGCGATAGTATACACATTCTGTGGCCGAGCTCGGCTTCACATGAAGCACGATGTCTGTACGTGTGGGGAAGTACTTTTCGCTGCTCCTCTCGTCTGGCAGCAGGTGAAGTTGCTGCCTCCAGGAGCTCCCTCCACCACCGCCAGGGTGAAGCCCTTCTTGAAAGATCTTCTTGTAAAACTCATAGTGGGTCGCGTGGAGAAGAAAGGGGACCTCTTTGGGGTCGACCCTATCATGTACTGCTTCCGGGTCCACTTGACGGCTGTGGCCCTGTGCTGCTCCAACCACAATGTGGGTGTTGTCTCGGTCCCGGGCCCAGAGGATGCGGAACCTTTGTTTTTGTTCCAGTAGACCACTGCCAGGAGTTCTTCCTTAGTCGCACGAACCTGGTCGAATATATCCAACTTGGTGATCGCCTCCAGGGGTGCCGTGGCATTCTTGTGGAAAGTAAGGCCGAATTGGCCTTTGTCGTGTCGGAGGACCTTGCTTAACCTTTTCGAAAGGGTTTCATCACGGTCACGACGGAGTCTTGTCGGTGGGAATGGGAAGGAGTACGGAGTGAAGGTGGGGGCCTGTTTCAGGCTCCCCTCTGGCTCTTCGGTCAGCGTGCTGTGTGCACTGGTGTGTGCAGAGTCAGCATTGAGGGCCGAAGTAGTCGGCACCTCTTCATAGATGCCAAGGGCTTCCAGACTTTCCGGGTTCTGCTCATCCTTGATGTCATCATTGTGGGAGCTGTCCGGAGCTTCCTCTTCTCTCTCCCAGTACTGCTCTTCTTCTTCCTCCTCATCGTCCTCGTCGTAATCCTCTTCGTCCTCAAAGCAGCAGTCTTCTGACCCTTCCTCTTCCTGATAGTCAGCATCCTGTGTAGGGGCCGGATGCGGCGCTTCCTTGTCTTGATGCGAGGAGGAGGAAGGGGCCGCATTCTGCTGCTTGGCTCCCGGGTAGAAGTGGTGTAGAAGCCGATCCACTTCTGGTTCCGTAATTTTCCAGCCCATAATGTCATGCATTTGGCTGGGGATCTCACCTATGAGATCAACCCAAGCATCCATGGACTCAACGATCCAGTTGAACATGGCTCGGAATTCGGGGTCCTCTTCCTCGCGGACTGTTCCCACCCAGCCCTCAACGGCTGCTCCGTACGAGCCCTCCTTTGAGGTTTCCGGATTGCCATGGAGCTCTCCACAGAGCAGGTAGGCAAAAGATGCCCAGTTCCAGTTCCCGTAGGATGGCAATTTCACAGCTTTGTGAAAGTCATCATGCTTCTTGGTGTAGTGGCCTCTGCCGAAGAACGATTCAATGTTCTCCGTAGCACCGTTCTGTCTCAGCTTTAGATTGTCGCGAAGCGACTGCCAGCGCTCCCATTGTCTGGCTGTTTGAGCCGTCGACTGGGGCGGGCCTCGTGGAAGGTCTTGTGGGAGGCTGTCCTCTGCTGCCTGGGGCCGACTATCGGCTTCCCCACGGTGACCTCGTTTGCGTGGGCTTTGAGGAGGGGTCGGCGGACGTCCCTGTGTTCTGGCCTCACGTCTCTCAACCCTCCTTGGGGGAGTATCTTCTTGGATATCTCTCTGCCGCTCGGCCCGGCGTTGGGGAGCATCATCTCTGGTTTCTCTCTGCCGGTCCGCTCGTCTGGTAGGGGCCGTGTCACGGTCGTCCCTAGCGGTGTTCCGTGCTGGTGGGCGTCTGCCCTCCCTTTGTTCATCAGCATCTTGCTGCCAACGGCGATCAGGGCGGCGATCCTCTGTGGTGTTTCGCCATCCATCCCATTGTCGTGATGAATAATCTATCCATCCACCTCCTTGCCATGTGTCGCGATTCCATTCTCTGTCGCGACTTCGATCATCTTCCTGATCGCGGCGTTGTGTAGGCCGGCGATCCTGATCATCTCGCCTTTCTGTTCGCCTGTCTTGCTGGCGCTGCTCTCGCTGGCGAGTGGAAGTTTGAGTTGGAGGCCGTTGCTGCGGCTGCTCCCCTTTTCCTTTGCCACGATCCGAATTCTTGCCCTTGCCTTTGCCTGGGCCAGTCTGGGGGGCTTGTCCCTTGCCCTTCCCTTTGTTCTGCCAGGCTGCCTGCCTGGCTTGAATCTCGCCTGCCGAGCGGCGTCGGGTGCCGTCCGGCCTGTAGCGGGATCGCGGGTAACGACGGGGCCTGTCTTCTTCCTCTGGCTCCTGATCATCAACATCTTCGTCGTCCCTGGCATCGCGCTGGTGGCGACGGCCACCTCTCCCTGCTGGCGGCATGGTGCTTGAGTCGGCAACACTTCTGCGGGCATTGGCTCTTGCATAGATCGCACCACTTGCAGCTAGGCGATGAGAGACATGGCAGTAAGCGGCATGACTGACTAGCAACTGGCAAAACGGGGTCCTGTCACCTGGGTCGACGGGTTCACGTAGAAGTGGTCGGCCTGAGGACAGTGAGTCAACATCCCTTCTACCAGGATGCCGGAGTGGCACTTGGCTGCTGGCATTTAGGCTGGACTGATCGCAGAAGAGAAAAAGTTCTAGGTCGATCAGTACAAGCTCGGCATGTGAACATGTGTCCTGACAAGAGGGGCCCTCAGCTGGGCACCCATAAGAATCTGCTATCTGAACGGCACTGGGAGAGCTGCCTGATCCGCTCAATCCTGATGGCACTCTGTATAACTGTAATTGCACAGCATCTGAGCTGTTCACGGTGGTGACCTGGATAGGGGCCGAGTACGGTCTCCCGGTGGGGTGGCTAGAAGCCACGTCCCAGCTGCCTGACTGATTAGTCCAGACTGTGCAGGTCCAGTACCTGTGGTCCTGGACGGGTTGATTGCTGATAGCACTGCTGATGTGATTTTTGGGCCGCTGCGTTGGCTTGTGCAGCAAGAAGGTCTCGCTGTTGCCTGGCAGTGCCTGGGTTGGGTGCTGCATTTCCAAAGGCTCGGGCCAGCTTGGGTGGTACCTTAGATCTTCGAGATGGAACAATGCCTGCACCGTGATAATAACAAGAAGGCATCTTATTATGTGTTGAATACATGCTGATGTTTTCGCTCTCAGTTGATGGAGAGCGTGCTGCGGCGCTCGATCCTGCGATTGCAAAGCTGCGGCTCCCTTCCGGGGCCGGTTCTTTCCTGCATTGTTTCTTCTGCGGCGGTTGCAAATTTGCTGCTGAAAACTCAGTCCCTCCCACCTCATAAACGGAAGGTCGCTGGTCATGACTGATTTTGAGTTCCTGTCGAAAGAGCCCAGCTCACGGCAAGGGCTATTACTGCGCATGTCCTTCCATGGCATCGACTAGCTTGGCGTGTACCCTCTGGTGGGGCACAGCTATGTACAAACTACCCCTCCCCAACAAAACACAACTTGAGCCGGAGGCTTGCTCGGGGGATCCGCAATGTTGCTGCAAGAAGGCACCCTAGCACACCATGGAAGCAGGGTGTGCTGCTCACAAGTTTTAACAAAGATATGGCAAATGCGGGTGATCGCCCACGAAGCAGAGTACCCTTTGATCAGGGCAAAGCGTGCCTCCTCGTTATCAAGATATGCGATACACTCAGCCGAGGACAGTCGCTGGCTCCACAGCATAAAAGCGACGACGACTGCCACTGTTTCCAACTCGCCAATGCCTGTGCTCGCATCGACGGGAAGCAACGGTCGAATGTCACCCTCGCACAAAGGCAACCCAAACCAGCTGGCCACCGAACCGGAAGGAGAGATAAGAACACCGCCTAATCCCCCAACGAAGCAAGGCTCGAAGCTGGCATCGGTAAAAACAAACCACGGGTGTCCCAGAGGTTTCGTAATGCGCCTTGGTTCTCCATGAAGTATGATGCGCTCCAAAAGGAAATTAAGGGCATCACGAGTAGCAGCCGTGAGCTTAGCAACGAAAGGCCAGGCATGAACATGCGAGCTGATATGCTTCAACGCATAATGCCCTGCTTTGCCCATAATTTGCGAGCTCGCAAAAGAAAGCTTGCCCCGCAACTCAAGGCCTCCTTTATAGGATAGCGCGCCCTCCTCAAGAATACTCTCCACAAGTGTTCTGAGGTCACCTCTGCGCTTCTCGGTGTTGCCAACTGTGACGATGCCATCGCCCGAAGCTTCCAAGTCAAAGTGAAGTCCCAAGGCAGATACCTGACGGGAGAAAACATCGGCCTTAGGCCCCTCAAGGTCAAAAATCCAACCCAGAAGTTGGAACAGCAATTCCATAGTGGTACCTGTGTTATCAGCCAGACAATCCGGTGAAGCAACAATGAAGTCATCATAATAGGAAGTCGTCGGCACAAGGAGGCAGCGATTGGCAATCCATTGAATGCACCGAGAGCAGCGAATAAAGCCGTTCACCGATGCTCGTGAGCCGAAGGGTAAACAGATCTGGGTGAAAAGTTCGGTTCTCTGCTTGTGCGGATTATACACTGCAATCGCTGCGAATCCCCGGGAGCGCACAGCAACACACAATTGCCGATAAGCCAAGGTCGAAGGCACGCCCTTTGATCCAGGAAGGTTTCTTGGCGTCGCTGAGCTTTGCACATAATCGCGAGAACATTGCCGCTGCCACATCTGCGGTGTCGACAGTGGGCTGTTCCAATTGTTACACAGGAGTTGACACCACTCCGGCTGTAATCATCAATGGGACGCAGTTTCCCACTTTGCAGTAGCGGAAATCTGTGGGACACAACAGTGAGTCCCAGTCGTATGGTCCAAGGAGCCAACCTGCTGCAACCTCCTTCATGGTTTTCTCCCACAGCTGGATATCTTTCCCCGGAGGAACCCAATGAGATCTTGAGCGCCTCATTGGCACGGGGAGCGGCATCTTGCAAATCATCTGGATGAAGAGATGCAGGAGTGACCTTCAGCGGCAGCACATTCGATACAGGCGATTTGCCAACCAAGTCAAAACCCGACCAAATATCTCTTGCAAGATTAACATCCTCATACCCCTCAGCCGCAATGATCTCATCGAGCAATTGCAAGCGCTTCTTGCACAAGACATGATGCATATGCGGATCACTGATATCCCAGGAGGGATCCGGAGCCTTCGTGATCTCGGCTGCGCGTGCGGTCCATTTGTCAAGCCACTTTCTCCTCAACTCGATGACAGAGTGTGGCGGGGCTTTGGCTAGCAGTGAAAGGCACCCCAAATGTCACTGGGGTCAGCGGTTGCCCGGCGCTCACCCCAGGATCATGCTCCCCACTCTTGCACGGCTGATTTGCACACGGGCTGGTAGTCGCGCATGCATCGGTGACCGGATGTCCTGGCACAGGGAAGCCCAAGTCCTTGAGCACCGTCACCTCGTCATCCTTCAGGGAAGAGATGCGATTCGGAGTGAATCCTACCAGGACCACTCTGGAACCCTCCCACGGCAATGTGCAATGGTACCGACGTGCATCGAACTCGACAGGCCCCTCGCAGACTTGCAGGACACGACCGTTCGCCTTGCCAAGAGGAGTGGCACGGGCACGCGGGCCCTTGTCATCCTGAATCCAAATGCCACCCTTCCCGAAGCTAGTAACAGGCACCATGTAATTTGCAGTGCCCTCCAAGTTGTTGGCATCCCTGTGCATAGGAGTACACACATTAGAGTAAATAGCAACGGTGGCAAAAGTCGCATGTGGGAAGCGGGCGCGCAGCAGCCGCACAGCTGCTCTGACAGCGTTCGGAAAGGTCCTGGTATTTCTGCGCAAGCCACACAGAGTGCCCTGGGAGTACGCCCCAGCCGACCAGGCTTTCTCCCGAGCATCGTTGACCCCCTGGCAGGCGTCTGCAGGCAATGCATCAAAAATCGCCAACAGCTGGCTTTCTGTGGGAGCTTCACGCAAGTTTGCAGCCAGTAGCGCAGCTTCACTGCTTGCGTTTTGCACCCTAGCACTATCAACATGCCTTTCAAGACTTCCGGAATGGGGTCGCGGGTAATCTTGGCCTTCTTACCTGGGCTATCCTCATCGCCGTGGGTTTTACGCTTACGACCCTTACCGTCCCTGTCTTGCTTGCCTCCCCCCTTGCCTCGGCCTTTCACGGGCAACAGAAAATACATCACACTGGTGTTGAACTCAAGCTTCTCAAACTCTTTGTCCACTGGGAGGGCACCGTCAGGGCCTGGTTTTAAGTTGCCATTGCACACACGCGCAAGCTCTAGGAAACACTGCCTGTCTGCACGCAACACCTGAGCCCGCGAGACGCGCTGAAATTCCGGAGGCGGATCCTGACTCATGATGCGAAAGAGGCGCTCATTCCACTTTGCACAGTGGCATAAGATGCAAGACCCACTAAGTCCATAGCAAGGGCCCCCTCCTCATCATCGCCTGGTACAGCGCAAGGTCGCTGTCAAGAGACGAGGCGGCTGTTGTCTCCTCGTCTTTCACCACAAGACCTGTCTTGTTCGCATCTAAATGCAAAGCCTTGGGAGGCTTCTCGTTGCACAACTCGGCATCACGTGTGACGCACTCATTGGGAGCAAGATACTTCAATTCGTCATTTTCGCGCATGGTCGCAAGCTTATCATACACGCAATGTCCCACTGCCAACGGGCCCTCAAGAGGAAGTCCTGACAAGCGCTTCTTCTGAGCCTCTATTCTCATCGATCGCTCAGATGCTGGCAGCTTGCGTGGTACCTCATCCGTGGCTTGCATGGATGAACGCAACTCAGCCACAGTCATTGTCTGCGACTCGAAGATAATCTGCTTCAGTGCTGAACTATCCCCCAAGGTGATGGGCGCCCCAGGACGGAGTGCAGCGATGAAGGCATCCATGTCATCACTGGAAGGCTGAGTGCCCGGAAGCGTGACTGCATAACTAAGCTTCCCAAGAGTCGTGACCCCAGCAGCTCTAAGGGCCTCCGCCCATGGGACTGACAGACCTGCTCTCTCACACTGCCTGTCAAAGGCAGCAGTGGATGTCAGCAAAGAAAGAGCAGCCATCCCTAACGCATTCGCACTCTAAGTCACCCTGCTCAGCAACACACAACATAAGGGCTAAGCAATTTAAACACAGCATGTATCGTGCCTGAACATGAACGCGCATCAATGCAACATGTAGTTTCCCACGATCCAATGTTCGTGACACGTGTACCTCAGCCAAAGTGCAATCGCACGTAATGTACAAGTACGACATTATGAAGCACATGAGGGCATTCCCGGCTAAGCGCACTCGCTCGGCATCACAGAAGAACATGCTGCACACAACACTGAGCAATCTCAGACCAGCACTCGGTCTCAACTACATCTTCACACATCCTGCGCACTAGCTGCGGTTCATAAGCTCATCGAGCTTCTCATTGAGAGCTTTACGCGAATCTAGCAGCTCTCCCTTCCAGCACACAGCACACCGAGGCCACTTGAAGTAAGCACCCTCCATCCATCTGTACACTTTGGCTGTGCGTCGCCCGCACTTGGTCTTGTATGCATCTTGCTGACCCTGGGCACGATGAAGCATCCTCGACTTAATATGCTGCCAGCATGGTTCATTAATCTCAAAAGACTGCTGCACACCGCTCTGAGCAACGGTCTGCTCCTCAGTCTCGCTGGCACCCGAGGAACAAGAGCTCGATGAGGAAGACGATGAGCTGGATTCGGATCCCACATCATCGTCTGGAGCTATCCGTGAAGGGCTGTCCCCAAACAGCTCAGGAAAGAGATTGTCACTCACCGATCCAGGCTCGTCCCCCACAGTATTCCTGATGGGGTGTCCCACATCGTCCCAGGAGCCATTGTCATGATCATGATCCCCGGTCTGCGACTCGGCACCCGAGGGCAGGTTATGGGCGTGGTAGTGTTCCCATTCCCCAGAATCACACATCTGGCGTTTTGCATCGAAAAGATCCCTTTCCAACTCAACGCCTCCAGAATGAGCATCCAGCCGCCCAACATCGACACTTGAGAACTCTCCTGTCGTGGGCAGCAGAACATCGTGACCTCGCGCAATCCACCCAGAGCGAGTGGTGTCAGGTCTGAAAGTGTTCGCACGGATCTCATCTAACATGGCCCGGTAAGCACGGAGAGGACCACTTAGCAGCTCCCTGCTGTAACATGCCAAAGACCCATAGCCCGGAGCGTGGTGACCAAGGAGCAGGCCATCCCTCTCACCAAAGCCCCGCTTTCCAACCCAAGCCAGGGTCGTGCCCTTCAAAACATGAGAAGTCCTGCGACGCTCCCCCTCCAAGCATAAAGCATTGCAAAGCATCTCGCCTGCCTCCCTGGATGTACACCTTCTCATACACAAGTGACCCTTTGCGTCAGGTGCACGCACCAATGGACCAAAAGGCTTTGCAGACCAATCCACCCCGAGGCGCTCACCCGCAGTCCACCATGCACTCACCCAGTTCGCATTTGTCACGCCAGGAAAGGGAGCAACAAGAGGCATTGCACGCCTCTTGGTCTTCGCCGTATTGTTCGTCTTGTGATCACGCGTCCTGGCCTCCACAAAACCAGATGTGCAGTCAGTTTCATAATCCACCCAGATGCAGAGGAGGTTCTTGAGGTCAGACCATCTAGAACGACTATACAAGCAGAAGACCAAACCGCCCAGCACATAGGTATCTATGTCACACAGCGTCTGCCCTGCAACCAGCCTTTCAAGCTTTGCCACAGATTCCACTGAAAGAGCGACCTGCTGCTTCACCTCGTCCTTGTTGCCCTCAAGACGCTTTGCACGGCCGTGCAACCTGCGGTCCTGAAGAATCTCTTTGCAGAAGGGCATACCCATTACATGATGCGCAAGATTCATCGCTTCGAAGAGACATGTAACTGCACTAGCAGAGACTCCAAGAGATTTGACAAACTCGGTGAAGGAACAGCAATCCCAAGGCCAGGCAGCCCTTCGCTCTCTCAAGTGCCACCTCATGCAGCGAAGCAAAGAATTGGCACGCTTGATCGCCGTCCTGGGGGACTTAATCCCGAAGATCAGCTCATCACGAGCAGCCTCCCCCTCAGCGATCAGGCACTGAGCTCTGTGCCAAGCTGAAAATGCAACACCACTTACTGATCGCCAAAACCCAAAGATGATCATCCTCATCCTGTGCGGCGACATCAACATGATGCATGCATGCATGCATGCAACCAAGCATCAAAGTGGCACTGCAAATCAGAAATTAGTTTGGGAAATAAAATGCTGTCTCGCAAGCGAGAAGGCTTATTTATATACATCTACCTCTACTACAAACGCACAGGCCTTGAAGGCCGACGGACGCTGGGTGCTTCTTGGGAGGCGAACGGACGAATTACATCATCTTCAGCTTGGGTATAATTCGGATGTCATCATCAGCTTGGGTATAATTCGGATCGCATAAGCGTTGGATCAGCTTTGGGACTGCTCAGCAGAAAACTATCAACACAATGAATCAGCTTTGGATGATCATTCTCAATGAATGACTTTGGGTATACTTGGGATTTCTTGGGTATGCAATGACACAATAGTCTGATGCACCTGCGAACAGACATATCAGAGATGCTTGGGTGCTTTCTGGCAGGGGTATACCTGGGAGTGCGTTAGCCTTTAAAGAGCATTGGGTCTTTTGCAAAGTAGTCTGGTTGCAAACCAGAATTGAATCTCTTCAGTTGGGTATAATTCGGATGTCCTGGATATGCTTTGGAGGGGTTGCAACTGCAACCATCACGACTGGACCTTGTCAGAATTACCAGCCGAACAACACACATGGAAATCCGGTCTCTGCCGGTTGTCTCGTAGTGTTTCTTCTTTCACACTTCCTGTGGATACTTCTTGTCTCAGCTGCAAAATCTTCATATCTAGATTATCTTGAGTTCGAATATCAAGGCCTCAGAAATCTTCTTTTGTTCCAGGTTCATCTCAAAGACATGCATACATTAGATGAGCGATACAATTGAATGTTTTGGACTCAAGGCTCATAAGACTGAAGATGCAAATCGATCAGCGAGTGAAACCGCAGGTACAGAGCTATGCGTCCATAGCTCCTTCCACCCATTCCGCTAGCTTCGTTGGCTGGCATCACGGAATAGGCTGCCAGCCCCCTGCTTCTCTTCATATACAATGCAATGATGTAGAGACTCTGAAGATTCAAACTCCTTGCTTTTCTTCCAATGCAAAGCATCAGTGCAGATACTTTAGAGACTCAAAATCCTTGGATACAGGAGTTGCACATAGTTGCACACACACACGCACACGACTTTAGGTCCACATGACAGTGGACGATTTACATGCATATTTGGGCGCCTTACGCAGCTGTTTGACAAGACACCTTGTAGTTTGGTCGGTCTTTAGCAGGCACAGCCTATGAAACCCAGAATTAATTAAAATGTGAACCAAAAGCAAAACAAAAGCGCCAGAAATGCGATTTGAACATGCACCCTGGAAAAGCAGATGCAAAAGAAAAGCAAAAAGAAAGCAACAAAAAAAGCACTGTGAAAACTGCAAAAAAGCAAAACAACAAAAACAAAGCAAAAGCACCTTGAGAGAAGAATATAGGAACAAGTATCTTGTGTTTGTGCTTCAGATCACGTCTGTATTCATTCTGTGTTCTCTTTGGGCGTCACTTTTTTCTTATATTTTTCGTATTACCGATGCAGCCACCATCAAAGCCTGCCATGCATGTTTTTGCATGCGTTTCGCATTGTTTGCACATCTCCATATTGCATCGCAGTTTTCGAACGACTCTTTTAGCGCTTTTTTGGCACAGAAACAACTGTTTTGGAAAATCCTAGTCTGTGCCTGAATGCCCGGCCTAACCTTGTAGCACTTCACATCCTTGATGTTTTACAAGGCAGCAAACTTAGGAGAGCAAGCTGTGCTTAGCGGTTTCGAATGTTCCGGCAACCGACTCAACAAACCCACACGACTCAAGATTGCACCCAAGTTTTCCGTGATTGCTCAACAAGCCTTCTGCTTCGCCTCCTCAAGCACCTGAGCGCAGTTGTTTTAAGCAACACTCTATTCCGCTGGGATCTCCGCGCCTTCAACAAGGCATCGTTCGCCGAAAGCCCTGTGGCCATCAACTTGGCCACCCTGCCGGAGGCTCGAAATGTCCCAAGCTGCACGGACACGCAAAGCCAACTCTGAAGCTCTGAAGCGCCCCGCAAGACCCGCCTCGCCCGTAGGGCTGCCTGCGCGTCCTGCGCACCTGCCGGAAGGAAGAGTCGAAGAGAGTCGAAAAGGGACAGTCTCTTGGCTTGTCAAAACTGTGACCCGGAGCTTCTCGTAGCTGCTGACCCGCGACATCCCTTGAGCCGCAGCTTCGGGCGTGGCCTTTGTACCCCGTCGAGGGGAGTGATGTGCCTGCCTGGGATCTTGTGCAAAAAGATCAGAATACCGGGCGGCGCTCCGAATTCGTACAAAGCACAGAGACGGCAATTTGGACCTCAGTGACTGAGGCAATGGCTTGTTCCAAGCCCGTTTCCGAGCACTCAAGGGCCTCTGCAAAAAAAGTCAGACGACCATCAGTACATCGACAAGCAACTTCAATGTCTCCAGCTCAGCTGCGACAAGCGCCTTCGAAACCCTGGTCTTGCCCTGCCATCGTAAAACACTTTTCCGTAGCTCCTCGTCTTTTGTTCATAACCGATTGCATACCATGTGTTCACCAAGCACTGTTTGCTCCGGACTTCTGACCGTGTCCATCCTGCCCCAAGACTTGCTGCACATTTTGTACATTTACTCTTCATCGTTTGCCAGCACCCGTGATTCTCTTACTTATGGCGCCTTGCTACCATATGCCTCCACCATGACATCGCTCTGCTGGAAACTGCAGAAGAACTCCCATGGCCTTCTTCTTTGCCGCATCGTTGGCCCCAAGCTCGCCCCGCTGGGCGCGCCAGGAGGCATCTCCACTGGTGCGCCCGACCTATCAACATGACGACAACAAGAGCTTCGATGGAAAAGCCGATGCTACGTTCAACCGTGCCTTTCATGCTGGTAAGTCCCTACCTGCACAAATTTAATCGGCTTCAAAACCGAAATTCCGAAAATCAGAACTAGTAGAAGTAGCAAGCGAAGCCAACACACGACGCTGTCTGAAGAGCAGGTTCTGGAAGTCCACAAACCTTGTCCACAAGCTTTCACCATTCATGGACGTCCCTGAACTGGCTGCTTTAAACAGCTCAGACCAGCCCAGCCAACAAACCAACCCCGCGCTTGAACAAGCGGCCTCCTCGGCCTTTGTGGCGACGTGCGTTGTCTCCTGTGCTTCGGCATCAGCCCTCGCAAAGAGCAGAGCGCGGCGAGCAGCAGCCACAGTCGCGGGATACCTAAACACGACACGAACACGCAGCTTCGCACAAACAGGCTCAGTCGTGTAGATTCGTGTAGATTTCACGCAGAGCTACTGCACTAACGATCGATCCAAGGCGAACTCGTCGATCGCGCTCACAGCTTTCTTCAACTCCTCCGAAGGCAGGGGAAAGTTGTTTGGCAGCGGAAACACAACCGTCACACGAGTGTTGATGAAAGCGTGAGCGCCTCTTCTGAGCACTGCGTCCGCCGGGGGAGCAACTCCTTCGGTCCGGCTCAGTGACGGCTAAAATGGATCACAAGCCTTGAACCGCTCAGCTTAAGCAAAGCATAGCAAAGCAGAGACCCGCCTCGAAGCATTGCGTATATCGCCTGGTCACATCCATCACGTGATCTCGAGCGAAGCCGATGCAGTATGTCAGCTTCTTCCCCCAGCCCTTCCTGAGCCATTTCAGACCGTGGCAAGGGCACGTGTTCAGAGGTTATCACTGATCTACAACCTGAAGCAGTTATATGCGCTGCTGGGGTTCTCGTACATGAGAGGGGAGTCCAGTGCCGCTTCACAAGAATCGACATGCAACCACCTGCGAGATCTGAGCGCACATGCGCAGAACTGGCGGCTGACCCCGACCTTCGCTTGGAGTCCGAGAAGACTTCGGTCCAAACATGGTCTGTCCAGTCATGCACATGTCGAGCTTCGTAGCCTGACAGGACAACCTGAAGGACCTGAAGCACACGAGCTGCGGATGCTCAAAGGGCTGAGAAGCAGGCCTAGGGAACGGCACACGAGCGTAAAGCAGTTGGCCCACTCACCACAACGCCCGGTTCGGGTCTGAAGCAACTTTGCTGGATCGTTGTAGCCTTACCAAACTTTCACTGACATGTCATCGTTCACGGGTTGCCCAGCAAAAAACACACGACATCAAAGCCCGCGATCTGGGAATTTAACGAGGAAATCGCGTTTGGCCGCCGCACTTCGAACATGCTGCCACTTCAACAGTGTTGGCCTTGAAGTGCTTCTCCTGCGTGACGGTGTGGAAAGTTTGCCGCAAGCTCGGCTAAGCTTTACGCAACTCCACTCCTCGGGGGTGGGCTCGGCATGACCCACTGTTTTTGTTTCGGTTGAGCCGCAGTGCTCGCACCTGCAAACACAGACACAGACAGAGAAAGAGAGCGAGAGAGAGAAAGAGAGAGAGAGAGAGAGCAATAGTTCGAGAAAGCGAGAATCAAACGAACATTCTACAGCAACCGAGCACTTAAAAATCAATCCTTTTCCCTTGCATTTCACTCTCCAGCAAACATTCCTTTGTGACGTCAAGCCGATCAGTCCAGTCCTGAGCCAATGGGGGTTGTTGTTGTCGGAGGTCGGGAAGAACAATCTCATCTTGCTGATCAGCGTCCTCGTCGCGATGATGGGCCTGCAGGGATTGTGTCAGGGATGAATGATCAGTGGCCGTTCCATTTTCTGCCGAGCCGGCAAAGTGGCCGAGCTCCTTTTTCTTCTGGGGTTTGCCGTGGGGGCCCTTCGGTTGCCTTTGTTGGGCTTCCGTGGCTGTTGGGGATTTCCAAGTTGCTGCTGGGTTTGCAAAGCAGCGCTGCCTGGGCTATTTGTTCATAATTCTGCTGGCGGTGCTTTCTCTGTGCATCGCCGCCGGCCGCATGAAAATTTGCACCTGTTGTGCCAGCGTCATGCGTGCCGTGACAGATCGTGACAGGCAGCCTCTTGCCCGCCGTTGCCGACGGGCTGCTGCCTCGCCAAGCGGTCCTATACCCGACTCTGGTCCGCGTCGTGTGCCGAACTTTGCTGACGATGTCAAAGCCGGAAGTCCCCAGGCTCCTGCTCCTCGCCCTTGCAAGCGTAAGCTGCGCCCGAGCGGGTGGCAAAGCCCGTTGGTCTCCTCGGCCAGTTTGTGCAACGGTGTTTCTTCGGAGTGCGTTGTCCCTGTCTACAGTGAGCGTGAGCTTGAAAGCGTCCTCCATGGAGCACTTCGTGCACACCCGCTTTTCCTGTGACAGTTGTTGACTTCTGTGCCACGGCCGACCAAACGACTACTCCTGTGCTTGTTCAAACCGTCGGTTCGCCTGGGCTCCAGGCTCACAAAGTCCGGCTTCTTACCTTTCCGGGCTGCGACCCCAGCTTCCCTGCTAAGCCGGTCTCCTTAAAGCCCCCGGTGCAGTTCCAAGACAAAGCCCGTGCTGCTGACGCTCCCGCGCCAGAGTTCTTCACCGGTCGCCTGACCGTTGCTGCGGCGTACCTCACCTCACCTGTTTCAGCGTGTTGCCAAGAAGCCTGCGGCCTTGCCTTCGGCTGTCCTCCCTGTGACGGTCGCCGAGCGTGTTTACAAGACCTTTGCTGCGGCCGCGTGCCCTGACGAGGTTACTTGCCTTTTTAAGGTGCGTAAGGCCGACGCCGAGCGTTTGACTGGACTTACTTTGCCTGCCTGCTGTTTCGTCGCTCCCCACGGTGCCAACACTTCTAGCGTGCAGTGGCTTACGAGGCCCAGCGAACTGCAAAACCAGGAGTACTTTGCTCTTGCTAAAACACTGTCGCCGGTGCTAGCTCGGGGGCGTGCCTTGCTTACAGACCAGGTGGCCGCGCCAACTTGGGAGTGCGCACCTCCACCGCTGCTGCTGCACCTGTCGAAGGCGGCATTTCGCCGTGCTGGTCTCTGACCGGGGCTCCCGAAGAGTGGTTGCACCCGCCCACGGTCGAGATGCGGCGGATCGGGTAATTGGCGGCGTAGGCCTGTAGGCTCGCCGATCCCCCAGTGGTAGTAGGGTGGGCTTGTCCCCAAGGGTCAGCGTGTGGATGCCCTCGTGCTTTGGACTCGGAGAACTCGCGGGACAGAGCGGCAAAGGCGTACACGCGTAGTGAGGCAAACTCGCAGTAGAGCTCGCGCGCGGGGCTATGTCGGGGGCTGCACAGTCGCTCCCCTCTCTCTCGCCTCTTCGGTTGAGACCTTCCCTGGCTTTCTGTCACTCGGGGCTCAGGCCTTGAACCACTCGCGGCTTGAGCCAAAATGGCTACTCTGTCCCTCTGTCTCTCTCTGTCTCTCTCTGTCTCTCTCTGTCTCTCTCTGTCTCTCTCTGTCTCTCTCTGTCTCTCTCTGTCTCTCTCTGTCTCTCTCTGTCTCTCTCTGTCTCTCCGTCTCTCTCTCTCTCTCTCTCTCTCTCTGTCTCTCTGTCTCTCTCTCTCTCTCTGTCTGTCTCTCTGTCTCTCTGTCTCTCTGTCTCTCTGTCTCTCTGTCTCTCTGTCTCTCTGTCTCGTCTCTGTCTCTCTGTCTCTGTCTCTCTGTCTCTCTGTCTCTCTGTCTCTGTCTCTCTGGTCTCTCTCTCTCTCTCTCTCTCTCTCTGTCTCTCTCTCTCTCTCTCTCTCTCTCTCTCTCTCTCTCTCTCTCTCTCTCTCTCTCTCTCATTGGTACACAGCTGACGTACCTAGGTATAGTCCTTTCTTACAGGCTCGAGCAGCAGGACGGCCCCAGCCCGGGGAAGCCCAAGCCTGGAAACCCAGGCCTAGCGAGCCAACAGCGCTCTGCGCAAGCAGAAACACACGTCGTTACACCACAGCCCTAGGGGTTACTCAGCTTCATCACTTTTGAACCGATTTTGAACTGATTTTGAAGCGAATTTGAAGGGAATTTGAAGCGAATTTGAGCCGAATTTGTACTGAATATGCATTAATTTTGCACAGACTTTCCCTTTACTGCCCTAGGGGTTACGCAGTTTTGATATACCGCCCTAGGGGTATCACAGCTTCCCTTTACTTAAGTTAGACCGCACTTACAGTAGCCATGGCAACGGCGCCGGCGCCAGCGGACGCCATGGCCACCCCATCGCCCACTGACTCACCAGCAGCTCCTCCTGGTATTTCGCAACAGACGGCGGCACCAGAACCTACAGAAGCCCTTAAGTCTCCTAATCTAATCCAAGAGCACCTTTTAGGCCCAGGTCTCTCCCTTAAGGAGTTTGAGAATGAAGTGTATATGCTCTGTTCCCCAGCAGATCAGCAACTTATCACAAAGCCCATGTATGATAGCCTCCTTGTTATCCACCAGCAGAAACAGGCCTCACAGATCTCTATGGCATCATCTATAACAGGGCTTAGAACCCCTCCTTCTCTTGCCAAAACAGAAGAAGACGAACCTCCTTCCTGGGGCGATATGGACCCACAATTAGTGAGGGACCTCCAATCAGATCCTTCTAAGTATCAGCTCTTCATGGCCACACGGCGACCTAGGAAAGAGGCTCGATTGGACCCAACCTTAGGACAGTTCTCCATGCCAACTGATGTACCTCCCCCCCCGGCAGCCACAAGCTCCACTCAAGCTCCCGAAATCAATAAGGACAACATTAAGGAAGCTTTTGAGGAATATCACGCCACTTTTGTCTCCCCAGCAATTGCTCAGCTACAGGATCATGTGGTCAGCACCCTCACCCCCCAAATTAGATCTCTAGAAACGAGGAACACTCTACTCAAAACCAGTTTGTCATCAGTAGAATCTGAGATGCACAAAAGAACCATATTGATACACCAGGTTCCTCCCTTCTGCAACAAGAAAACAATTGACGATAACATGTGGTATCTCCTTAACATAGCGCAGCTAGACAAAACAGATGTGCATTCGATTTCCAATCACCTCCTTACCAGTTCTACTAGCTTTATCAGAGTTGTATTTCTCACAGAAGATATGGCTAAACAGTTCTTTCAATCCTTTAGACAATCTAAGCGCTACTTTCGCAACCGCGACCCGAAGAGCTATTCTCATCCTCCTGACACCCCGATAAAAGTTGAACGCGACGTCTCCTTAACTGAGCGGCTGGAGCGCCAACCATTATATGCACTCACGGATGCTCTAACGAAGGCTGTGACGGCGGATGGTGCTCCTTTGATCGATCAGTACTTAAGAATAGATTTCAATTCACTTCAGTTATTTCGGCCCGATTCAGAAGAACTAGTTGCGATGGTCTGTTACATCCCTTCAGGGGACACTCAGGTCTGTAACATAGCCATTCAGCCCCAACATCGGACTCATGTTTTGGATGTTTTTCCACGCATGTTTCAGGAAAGAATGTGCTCTACGCTACGCTTCCTACAAGCTTACCAAACGGCAGCAAGACACAGCACTACCCCACTCCGATTTCACTATTCACAGACCCAAGACCTCTCTAATGTCTCCCCCCAACAAGCAGTACAGTACTTTCCGTACGAGATATACCCACTTGATTTAACAGCCGAACTCCTTAGGACACTGTCCCAGAACCCTGCTCATTTACTTGCCAGTATGAGCGGTATTCAACCTATTGTACATCAAGCCATGCAAGACCAAGGCCTGGATTACTCTTCGTACGGTAAGACAGGTAGAGGCAAATCCTCCGACAAAGGAGGTGGCAAAGGTAAGCACAACAAGGGTAAAGGAAAGCAACAGGATAAAGGCACTAAAGGTAAATACTCCCAACAATCCTCCTGGCGCAACACCTCCGATTACCAAAGCAATAGACAATGGCGCTCTGAACCCCAGGATACAGTTGACCCATGGACGACCACTCAAGACCCTTGGCAACAACAGCCCCGCAGTGGGTTGGACTACTCCAGCGGCTCGGCAATCCTAACTCCTTGTCCGGGATGTATGTGTCTCCTTGGGACGAATTCGGATTGTTCACATTGTGCAGGAGCCGACGGTCTCAATCATTTACAAAGGCTCACAGACTCGAACAGATACTCACATTTAGTTCCGTTTGCGCAACCTATCACTAAAGGTTTCCGATGCCCTCTTACAGTAGGCCAAAAAACCAGAGAATGTCAAGCAGGTAAAACCATCTTTGGAATTGGAGATTGTGCAGGATGTATTGCATGGACTCAATGGGCTGCTAGGTACTACGGACCCAAACCTATTGAAGCTCTTAATCCTGTAAAGCACGCTCTGTACTTAGGCTATGAACGTACCATGCTCCACGCCATGGTAGAACATCCGGATTACTTTATCGACGCTTTGGCGCACTCCCTAAGGAGCATCCATTATCGTTACACCCTGCCCGACGCCTTTACAGAATGGTTCACTTCAGTTATTTGCCCCGATCCCCAAGACCCTCTAAGATCGCTCCCATGGCCCAAAGTACAAACAGAGTTCTCCATGCCCCCTGACAAATTCTTTCTCAAACCGGACCCTTGGTTCCATAACCTCGGTTATGAAATAGAAGCTTGCAACATCCAACAAATTAGTTATCTCCTTTTATCGGTCTATACTGCATATGAAGCCCTATCTGCAGAAATCATATCCAACACAGACCTCCCAGATCCCAATATGCAACCGGAGCTTGAAATTACATACGACTCCTTACTCACCCTAGATTTCATCCCCTGGCCCTCGGCAGTTCGCCGCTCCT